AATTGTGTGATTAGCAATCAGCCGGAGTGTCACACTGATGTTTAAATTGTTTATCTTGTAATGTATATCTGTATAAGCTGTATTGGTTGTATTCACAAGATACTCCTTTCTTGAGTGGAAGTAGGAAGCTGCTTGTGTGTATGCTATTATTATACGAAGTTTACAAATTCAGTTTCCCTCTGGCAGTTACATATGAAAAATTTGATATCAGTCTAGTTTTGGGGTTAGACAAGAAGAACAAAAATCAGTATTATGACCAAAAGTAAGTTTCCTCTTTCCAAATGTTGGTACATTTGACTAATTTTATATCTATCACAGTACATTTTGATTTACCTCTTTTTGAGCATAAAGTAAATGTAAGAGCGGTGTATTCAGGATAGAGTTAGAAATGATGAGTGTATTAATTTGTCTGTGCTTTCTTTTTTCTTAGTCCTTTAACACATTGCACATGATGTACCATGAGGCCACAGCGTGCCATGTGACTGGAGATCTGGTAGAGCTTCTGTCTATATTCCTTTCAGTTCTAAAGTCAACCCGTCCATATCTTCAGAGAAAAGGTTTGATAATGACTCTTTTAAGGATTTCACCGCTTGTTTGCTAACTAAGTTTTCATGATGCAAAACTGTACTTTATCTTGCTTTGCATCTGGTTTCATTAACCGATATAATTTCCACACAGTAACAGAGATGAGATTATTAGCAATTACTAAATTATTAAGTTAATTATTAAATTGCATGTCGACATAATGAACTTACTGAATGCTTATTGACATAATTGACTGGATTAAGTAAATTTGATAGAAATCTACGACGTGTCACTAGTCTACTGCTAAGTGGACTGAAGTCATGTTAGAGGAAAAAAGCACAGAGGTTTTTGAAGCAGTTTAGCAGTAAAATTTTCAGCTCTATTTCAAGAACTGATGAGAAATTTAATACATTTATATATTTTTTGCATTTGCAGATGTGAAGCAAGCTCTAATTCAGTGGCAGGAGCGAATTGAATTTGCTCATAAACTCTTAACTCTACTAAATTCATATAGTCCTCCAGAACTCAGAAACGCTTGTATCGGTAAGTCTTAATGGTGTAAGTGAAGTCAGGAGGGACAAGCTCTATGTAATTACCTGTGTTTAAATTCTCGTTTTGCAATTGTACAAGTTCATTAGATGCTACATGGACTAGGATTGCTTATTAATATCATAACTAATTTTATTTTCATCAGGTTAAAATTAATATTTATACTTTGCTAGGCATGCAGATCATGTGCACAAAAAGCTGGCATTCATTTTGAGAGGCCAGTTTGCTACCAAACTTATTTAACAGGTTACATGACTAAGGAGTATACTCCTGATTTCAGCAGTTAGTGAGTTTAGAATCAAGTCCCAAATCTTGCATTCCAATTTCAAGCGGTAACTAAAGCTCCTTTCAGAAGGATGCATGGCAGCCAAGTTACCCTGAGTAACAGCTCTTAATAACCATTTTTATGATCCATTTACTGAAGTATATAATAATTAAAGTAAATCTTAAATAACTTGTAGGAATGAATGGATCTGCTTTTTAAAAAGTAGACATAGACAAAAAGATAAAAATGACTTTCTTGCTTTAGAAGACCTGTTTGAAAAGTTTTTCTTGCTTAGATTTTTTAAATTTTTTTAATGGGTAGAATCTGCTATTTTATGCATACTGATGAAGGCCTAAAATTGTCCAGGTTAAACCATCTTTTTGTGATTTTTATACATTTTTCCCTTATTTTGAGTGCCTTTCTCATTGCCCTCCTGACTGCTGCTGGTTGACATTTTCCAGGCCTCAAACCTGATATGGTAAAGAAGAGGAAAGGGTAATTTTACTGAGCTTCTACTTTCTACAGCCTGGCACCACTTTCATTGTTGTTATAACACTGAGCAGATTTTCTTCTAGTGGAAGCGGTGAAGGGAATCTTTACTGATTCAGGGGTAGTCACTTTGTGTGTTACTCACAGTAAAGCCTAGTTCATGATGCACACTAGCGAAACTGATGTGAAACGACCTCAGTTTGAAAATGCATGAACCGTAAATTAAACTGTTTGCTGCTAAGAAATAACAATGTGTAATAGCAAAAACAACTTTTTGTTTGTAGATGTCCTCAAGGAGCTTGTACTTTTAAGTCCTCATGATTTCCTACATACTCTGGTTCCATTTCTACAGCACAATCATTGTACATACCACCACAGTAATATCCCAAGTAGGTATTTTCGGTGATTGTATTTTGAAGTTATATTACACTCTTATTAATCTATCATGTTCCCTGCTGATTTCAAATATTGACCTTTTTAATATATCCCTATCTTATCCTAACTTATACTACAGTGTCTCTTGGACCTTATTTTCCATGTCGCGAAAATTTGAAATTAATAGGGGGAAAAAGCAATATTCGTCCTCCTCGTCCTGAACTTAATATGTGCCTCTTGCCTACCATGGTGGAAGCCAGCAAGGTATGTAAATATATTCATATAATAATATGAATAGCTATTTCTCTGCTGTTTTTCCCTCTTTTTAAAAGTATTAAAAAAATCCAGTAGCATAATGCTTTTATGTATTCTTTGTTAACAAAGCATAATTCTTCTTCAAGATGTGTTGTCCTCATATACTCCATTCTATATGTGCACTCCAGAAGCACCATTTCCCTGCCGTTCCCTGCCCAGCTTCGTATTCTAGATGTAATGAGAGTTTAAACCTTGTATTTAGAGAAAGAAAAAATCATTTTTGTAGTCTCCCAGTCTGTTTGTGGCTTTTATAAAGCAGATTCAGAAGCAACCCAGGGACTGTCCAAATGAGTTTCAAACTATGTTCAGATTTATTATCAGTCAACTGAATAGATCTTCCAGGTTTTGTTAGAGTCCATTCTGCCAGGACTGAAGCAGAATCTCTCTTTGTTGGGGTAAAATACTGATACCAGAAAAAATGCAGGGCTACTGTATAGGGCTTTAAGTCTTTTACCTTCTATTTTCCCTTCTGTGGGCTTCCTGGTGGATTGCCAGCTTTGGTGGGGCTACTTTGTAGTCACTTGCCATGTCCCATTACTACAGTTGCAACAATGACTTTTTAGTTATCTAAAGTGGGATTCAACTCACATAACTTTGCCTGTCTAAATGGTCAGTGTCCAGCTCTTACTGTGTTTGCTGAAGAGAAATGGTTACTGCCCTCAGAAGGAGATTCATCCTTCCTGTCTTAGACAGCTGAATCTGGATAAGCTGATTCTTCCTCTGGAGGAGTCTCTCTGTGTCTCTCTCCACTGACTGCAGGGAATTCTGAAATGACTAGATTTTAGATAGCCAAAGTCACGTAAGGTGAATCCCACCCCTGAAGTGAATATGTATGGACAATCATTTGAAGAAGAAAAACTGGTTACTTGCTTTACAGTAACTGTGGTTCTTCAAGATGTTTTGTCCACACAGATTCTCTCCTCCTGTGCTAACTCAGAGGAGTCCTGTCGTAGGGGATTCTTATCGGGGAAGGAATTGAGTGGTGGTTGAAGCCGCCATACCCCTTATGCCCTCAGGTACAGTGGTCGCAAGGACACACTGGGTGCAGGCACAGCCCCAGTGGACACTGCTATTCAGAAAGAATCCAATCTCCTGCACATGGGGCCTATGTGCACGTAGATGGGAATCTGTGTGGGCAACACATTTCGAAGAAGCACGGTTACTGTAGGGTAAGTAACCATTCTTTTTTAAAGCTTTCAAATGATGCTTTGTATATTTGTGTACCATCAAATTTACTGTATAACCAAGCTTTTTTATTAACCAAAAAAAATATACAACCAGAAATTATCTGTAGTCGTTTTCCCATCATGTATCCAGACAAAATGGATGCGACAGAAAATAATGTAAATATTTGAACAAAAAGTAATTATATTAAATGACACAGGATCTTGCATTCATATATGTTAGGAACTAGCAGATCTTTAAGCCTTTAAAACCACATCCAAAGTTATATGTACCTGTGTTTTGCATGCTCATTTTTCATTTGTTTGTTTTGTTAAGATTGTATTTGTTTGCTTGAATTTCTTTCTGGCTATCTGGTCTACACAATCTGATGCCCTTTTGAGCATGTTTATCCCAATAGTTTAAAATATTTACGTACAAACCCCTTGGCATATCATTTAGTGTGAGACGTTCACGTTTCTGAAAATACTGCTTTGAAAGCCTCTGAAGCATGGTTTTAAGAAAATTTTGACTCCTGAAGGCAGATAATGACTGACAAATTATGGTCTAAAAAGCAGTAGTGTGTATTTAGATACCTGTGTATGATTTAGAATTATTGCCTTCTTGTCTGATCATCTTCCAAGATGTGGTTTTCATGCAGCTTTGTGCCTTCATTAGAGTCCTGCAATAAAGAATTTTTACTGGTAGAGGGGAATTTAATTTGTCATGTCTCAGTATTATGCTTGCCAAGAACACACTGATGAGACGCAGCTGGCCTGGTCTAGACTTGAAAGTTCCCACAGTGTTTTCCTGTAGCATTTGATAAAACATTTTAGGGCAGAAAGTGTGGTAAGATTAAGCTAAATGCTTAGGAAATCGGTACATGTGCTTATGTAGTTTAAATGAAGCTCTCTTAAATTTTCAGGGCAAAGATGATGTTTATGATCGTATGCTGCTAGACTATTTCTTCTCTTATCATCAGTTCATCCATCTACTATGTCGAGTTGCGATCAACTGTGAAAAGTTCACTGAAACTTTAGTTAAAATGAGTAAGTATGAGAGTTGCACAACCTAAGTATTTTTTCTTTTGCTGTGATAATAGTGCTTTTCCACTTAGCCTTATAATTAACATTTTTAAGTAAAAGTAGTGTTTATGAAACTTGCTGTAGCAAGAGTTCTAGAAATGCAAGTTTTATTATTGTATCCACAGAGCTGTGCATCAGGTATAACATTATTGCAGTCTTATCCACAGGATTGTCATGCCTCAGTCTTGTCTAGAAAGGACCTGAGGCCACCGCTGAAATTTGGTCAGATCCTGAAGCTTTAGTGTCACTGCAATTAACCTAATTTTTGACAAGTATTTTAGGATTTTACCTTTTTTTTCTTTCCCAGGAGGGCAGGTAGGACTATATATAGCCACTAAAGCTCTTTGTATTGTTATCAGCCTGGGTTTAATTTACTCTGTTGCTTTGGGAGCCACCACAATTATCAAGTTTATTGCCATTCAATGAACATAGTTTGTACCTGAAAACATAGATTTCAGCTCTGTAAGTAGGTAGCACTAGGACTTGGTACTTTCGTTGTACTTTTCTACTTTTCATAAACCTACAACGTAAATCTTCTTTTTTTTTTTTTTTTTTTTTTTCCTCCTGTGTGTGTCTGTGTACAAGACGTTGATGTCTGTATCTGAACATTTACCCTAGCCTTTTTGCTTGATTCTCTGCAGTAGAGCATCCTGGTCTGAACTGCCCCACTAAATACTTGTTTTGGTCTGAAGGGGCATCTTTTTCTTTTTTCCAGGCACCCTAGAATAAGCACAGTGTAGTAGCTGCAGATGGCCAAACATCAAAGTCATGCTATTACAGTTACCACGGGGTAACTGTAAGACAGGCATGTTTGGAATCCTCTCACCTAATTCCACTGCCTAAAACATTGGATTCTAGACAGACTCCCAGCACAGTGAATGGACAGATGCAGATTCCTTCAGATGGAAAATTTTTTGTTAAGATACTTGCTTGAACAACTGCATCACCTTCTAAAAATGTCTGTTTTCTCTGCCTGTGCAACTTAGATAGCTAGTTTTGCTTAGATGTCAAACTTCTGGACAGTTAAAGATATACAAAATTAATTATATCCTAGAAAACCCTATTTATAATAGCGTAGATGTTCTTCTCCTTACCCCTTTGTTCAGTATTTGTATTCCTTCGGATTTTACCTCTGACATTATTAATGTGTTCTGTAGGTTTCTTCAGTTAAACAAAAATGTATTGGGGATGTGTATTGCTTGTTAGTGTTCAGTCTATTCCTAAACTGTTTCACTATCTAGGTAACAGTGATGTTTGGGGTGATAATGAAGATTATCATTTTAAAATTATATGCTATTTTTAAAACTATATTTAAAACCTTGAGATGTTTAAAACTCTTAAGTGCTATTGTTGGCCAGTTAAAAATGTAAGAAAACAGTAATGAATCTGGTTACCAATCCAGAGCTAAAGCTAGCCCTTCTTTTAGTTTTTATATTTTTACTTTTCACAGCCATGCTCATGGGATATATTTATTAATTGTACTGTAAAACTGTACTGTTGAAACTTCACAGACTATCAGTCTTTCTGGTCATACTTTTTTTGAATCATTTGAATGTGATCAGGTAAGATGAAGCAGTACTTTGAAATTATATGTATCATCAAATGAACATGTTTTACAAAAATCAGTTTAGAACATTCTCACATAATAGCTTTTATATTCTCATAAATTTCCAGGTGTGCTAGTTGCGTATGAAGGTTTACCACTTCATCTTGCATTATTCCCCAAACTTTGGACTGAGCTGTGCCAGACTCAGGTAAGATTTAATTCAGTGGATTTGAGGACTAATTGCGTAGAAATACAAGCAAATACAGTTGCCTGTAAAACATCTCTCTTAACCAGGAAATCTTAACTGGTAGATATTATTTACTGATTCAAAATATTAATGTTTCAGTTAAACAATACCTCTGTTTGTGTAGCCAGGCCATCTATTAAAACCTGATAAATCAAGGATAAGCATTTCACAAATTAAATTCAGTCCTAGGAGTCCCTAGGTCCTGTGAACTCTTATTCAGCAAGTTTACATACCACATAATATAGGAAGAACGGAGGTCTGCACACTGTACTGAATTTACTTCTTTCTGCCTCCCTGAATTTTTGGCTTTTTATATAATGGAAGCACTGGTGTGGCAGAAGTGAAAATTGAGAGATCTCCAGTCTTGCATCTTCCTTGTGCTTCAGATCATAGTGTAGCCATTGCGAGTTGGGCCACAGCTTAGGAAGGACTGACCCTTTAAGTGCATAGGGACTGTAGTAAACTTGCATTCCCAAGGAATTTACTTTATAAAATGAAAATGTGAGATTATAATTGGCAATAATAATGTTTTACAGTTTACTAATACTGATTAAAATATTTCAGGATGATGAGGTAAGAATTTTCCAGAACCAGTTAGAACATCACTTGGCATGGCTAGATTTTGGGCAATCAAGACAAATTTGTGTCATACTTTGATGATGTGGTGTTCTCTCTTTCTTCACTAGTCTGCTATGTCAAAGAACTGTGTTAAGCTCCTCTGTGAAGACCCAGTTTTTGCAGAATACATAAAATGTATTCTCATGGATGAACGGACCTTTCTTAACAACAACATTGTATATACCTTCTTGACCCATTTTCTTTTAAAGGTAAGTGATGTTCTGGTTACAGGTCATGCTCCAAGAAATGCAGCCATACGTACTAGTTTAATTTGGTATTCTGTTCTCACAATGTATTTTTTGTGATTTTAAAGTAAGTCTTCTCTTTATAGGTCCAAGGACAGGTGTTTTCTGAAGCAAACTGTGCCAACCTAATCAATACTCTAATTACAAATCTAATAAATCAATATCAAAGCCTAGAGTCTGACTTCAGCAACCAGAGGATTGAAATTTCCAAAGCAAGCTCTACTTTAAATGGGGTGAGTCTTTTCTAAGCCGTTCAAGTAGGAGAAACTTTTAGGAGGCAGCTTATTTTCTGTGGAAGCGCTTTCGTGCCACGTACCAGGTTCTCGTTAAAGGCAGGGGCATTTTAACTGGGCTTGGAACATAAGCAAAGCTCCTGGGTCAGAGCATGAGACACTCGCTGCCTGTTAGATGTTTTAACCTCTAAAAGCGGCGGTCAGAAGTTTAGAGAGCACCTCTCTGAGCTCTCCTGAATTCTCCATGCTTCCAGTGGTGGACATGAGGGCTGCCTATTATTAGAATTAAATAAGTAAAAACAATGCAAAGCTCCCTGGAATTACACGCTGAAATGTTCTAGACAAGCAAAGGGTTTCACCTGACAGTGAGCAACACAGTTCCGTCATCTGCTTAGGACAGGTGGATCTACATGAAAGTCAGCATGTAGGAGTGAGGGAGAAATTTCAGTAGTGTAAGTATATTTAGAATCTGGTGTTCTGGATGTTTAGAAGTGCTCAGAACGAATTGGAACTGCCTCTTACTGCACAGGTCTGTGTATTATAGGACTTTTAAATTGAGCTAATTATTTACTTGTGGAGGGTTTACTCTTGTTTTTGCAGGACCTCCGAGCACTTGCCTTGCTGCTTTCAGTGCACACTCCCAAACAGCTCAATTCAGCCCTGATTCCAACGCTACAAGAACTTTTAAATAAATGTAGAGCTTGTCAGCAACAGAGGAACTCATTGCAAGAGCAAGAAGCCAAAGAAAGAAAAACTAAAGGTTTGCCTTTTTATAATTTTAGTGTCATTCTAATCTTTTTTACAGACTTTTACAAAATTAACACCTTTTTAATGATGAAGGCAGGCTTTCCCTTGATTCCAATTTCAAACACCGCACAAGAAATTCTATTTTATTATGGAGATAAATTTTTAAGCAATTACCTAAATTGTCCCTAAGGAAAGGTATATTTTTCTTAATTGGTTCCTCTAATACAGAAAAGTTTTTTGAAGGATGAACATGTGAAACAGCAGGCCTGTTATTTAGTTGTGTCGCCCGAAGGCAAGGTGATTTCTATCCTAACCTGGATATCTCCATTTTTTTCCCCTTGCAGACGATGAAGGAGCTACTCCTGTAAAAAGGAGACGGGTCAGCAGTGACGAGGAGCACACTGTAGATAGCTGTATCAGTGATATAAAAACTGAGCCACGGGAGGCGTTGACCCCAACAAGCACTTCAGATAACGAGACAAGGGACTCTTCAATCATTGATCCTGGCACTGAACAAGATCCTCCTTCCCCTGAAAACAGTTCTGTCAAAGAGTACAGAATGGAAGTTCCATCTTCATTTTCAGAAGACATAATGTTAGCAACGAGGTCACAACACACAGAAGAGCAGCCGGGAAATGGGAAATTTGAAGAGTGCAAGGAATTTAAAGACCTACAGACTTCAAAAAATTCCCTTGTAGCAGAGGAGGACGCTGAGTTTCCTTCCACTTCAATTTCAGCAGTTTTATCTGACCTCGCAGATTTGAGAGGCTGTGATGGTCAAGCCTTACCATCCCAGGACCCCGAAACTAGTTTATCAATCAGTTGTGGCCATTCCAGAGGACTTTTTAGTCATATGCAGCAGCATGACATTTTAGACATCCTGTGTAGGACCATTGAGTCTACGATTCATGTGGTCACAAGGATATCTGGCAAAGGAAACCAAGCTGCTTCTTGACATTTAAGTCTTTTATTTTCTCCCCCCAAAATGCTGTTTGTATAAGTTTTGCTTATTTCTGTTTTGTGCTTCAGTTTGTCCAGTGCTCTCTGCTTGAATGGCAAGATAGATTTATATGCTTAATTCTTGGTCAGGCAGAACTCCAGATTTTTTTTGTTTGTTTGTTTTTTGGGTTTTTTTTTTTTTTTTTGCATCTACCGTACATTTTCTTAAAGGGCAATCAAATAATGGGTATGTTTTATGTAATTAAGAGTTCACTGTGGTGGCTTTCATTTAATATGGCTGTCGGGGAGGACAGGGCCTCCTTGCCCTGTATGATGTAATTTAAACTTATGGCATTTTTACTGTGTATAATATGGTGTCCTCTGTGCCAGTTTTGTACCTTATAATAGAGGCAGATTGCCTCAGATCGCTGTGGTTCTTATTATCAAAATTAAGTTTACTTGTATACTAAACAACCACAAGAAATTTGATTCTGTAAAGAATCCTCTTTAGCTGTGGCCTGGCAGTATATATATGGTGCTTTATTTAACAGAATACCTGTGGAGGAAATAAAGCACACTTGATGTAAAATTAATTGTTTTATTTTTATTGACATGATCAATTGCTATTCTGTGCACTTCATTAAACTGATTGTGATGACTTTTCACTTGTTTATATATGTTGCTTCAGTCTTTAGATTTCCTCAAAGACAATTTGAAAAATGAAACAAGTGCAGAGAGAAATGGCTTTCAAATGCATCTGATATATGTAAATTTGGTCTTTTCTGGTTTACTGTACATGAATGTTCAGTCAGGTAATTGGGACTGGGGTTTGCTTACCTTTAAAACCATAAAGTGGTGTAAGAAGCCAGTGGATCCTTTCATTTCTTCCCTCAGTCTGTTCTGCATTAGCCTGTTCTTCCACTCTTCGCTCTCTCCCTCTCCTTTCCATCCTACCCTGCTCCCTCTGCTTCCCTGGATGTGTTTTGAGTAATAGCCATTTTCTGTGTCACCTGATTAGTGATGGTACTTGTTTTAACCTCTGATTAAACTCCATTTTCACCTTCATTTTCCAGTTTATCTCATTTGATTTTCTGCTTCCTGTAAAACACATCTGTCTTGGCCTTTTCTCCCCTAACTCCTTTGTGCTGTCCCCATCACTTCATGGTGGTCAGCATCACTCATGCAGCCTGTGGTTCAGTTGCACGGTGCTTGTGTGACTTCAGCTCTTTGCATCTCTCAGTTGTTTTTACTTTTTGTAATGATTAATGTATCATAAAGTTCACTCTGTGTTCTCCTCTGCAACAGCCTCTGTAACAAGGCTTCCTCTGTAAGAAGCCTTCTTTTTCCTGCACTTACTGCCACTGCAATAATGGTGCTGATTGCGTAAACCAGTCTTATTATTCACATTTTAAGTAATTGTTTTTACTCTCCTTCGGTATCATTTTATTAGTATTTCTAATCAGCCTCTCCGTAGGTTTTACCTTCAGAGAAGTCATCAACAGCAACAACCTTTGGCACAGGGAGCGACAGAGTTTGTCCATCGACTCTTCTGCGAAACCAAGCCTTTTGCCTAGGAGATATTCCCTGCAGAGCCTGAAATCTTCAAGTGACGAAGACCCCATTGCATCCCTTTGGTAAGTAGTCTCTGTTATTAAGCACTCTCGTTAAAAATGTGCACCTGATTTTTGGTTCACTGTCTGACTTCAGCTTCCCATTATGCAATTTGCTGGGCTCCATTTCCTTGTGGAGTTACCTGCTGGCACAAGGAGGTCACACATAGCCCTAGACAGCGGGGTTTTCTGGCTTGGACAAGGGATAATGGGTATAAATTAGAACATAGGGTGTTCCACCTCCATTTGAGGAAGAACTTCTTTCCTGTGAGGTGCCAAAGCCCTGGAACAGGCTGCCCAGAGAGGCTGTGGAGTCTCCTTCCCTGGAAATCTTCAAAACCCGCCTGGGTGGCACCCTGTGCCACATGCTCTGGGTGTCTCTGCTGGAGCAGGGAGGTTGGACTAGATGATCTCTAAGTTTGTCACAATAGGGTATCCTTCCTAGAAGTCATACTGCACTTATCACTGGGAACGACTACTTTCTACAGCATGTCTCTATGGCTTTTTAAGATATGGATGTTGTCATCATATTCCCCAGAGATGCGTTCTGGTTCATGGAGAGGCTGTTTTATATAATCTCCTGTGAAAGATTAAAACAACAGCAGCAGGAACAACAATAATGCAACAAACTACCTCCCAAGAAAAACAAGGTTGTGGCATAGGTGACAAAATCTCAGCACCCCCTGCAAAGTGAAAGGCTTAACTCTCAGTTCATGGGCAACCCTTCTCATTCTCCTAGAAAGCTGCATCATCTTTCACTCCCAATAAGAGCTGCGCTCTCACTCCAACCCAGGAAGACCTGCCTGTAAGTCATTTTATCTAAGGACACCAGAATTTTTCACAAGAGCCAAGTGTTTGGGGCAGGACACTGAGTTTGTGGCTGCACTTCCATAAAACCAGGCTCCCATATTGGCTGATGCCTGCTGAGCACTGGCATCCAAGTGCCCTCTGCTCTCATTGCAAGTTGTTAGGCAACCAGTAGGTCAAGGTCAATGTGGCTACACTGTGCTTCATGTTGTCACTGTGCAGATCTCCTGGTGCTCTGGGCAGAAAATATCAAATCTCACACCTTCTTAAGACTGTTAGATTTTCCTCCTTTCTTCCTCCCCAGCAGGAGCAAATGGTCATCACAGCAGAGAGAATGGCAGGAGAGAAGCTGGGGGAGAGAAGGGCAGTAGGTCCAGCCCTTGTTTGTGGAGCACAACTAAAGTGGGAAGAGTACCCAGGTTCCTCACACAGGGTGCAGGGTGCCGTGTACCCCGGAGCGAGCAGGAGGTGAGAGCAACTCAGTCTAGAAGGGATGCACGATGAAGAGCTCACAGGGAATCACCAGAGCCAGCGGTTATCTCAGTTATCTTGTTATTGCCATGGCTTTTTCATAGCCAGGCAGCACTTTAAGCCACATATCAATAACAAGAGGCTTGTATGCAGCTTGTATAACAGGGGAAAGGGGTCTTTTTTTTTTTTCCTTTTTTTTTTTTTTTTTTTACCCGGTAGGGGTAAGTGGTATGAGACATCCTGCCCAAGAAAGTGCTGAAGGTGTAGGATGTGCTGTGTGAAGAAACTTGTGATTTTGGGTAGAGGTACTAATTTGGATGAGATTAACAGTCTACTCCATTGGCTAAGATGTCACAAGAGCTCTGAATCTGTGTACAAACAAAACTACTTTAGCCTAGGTTCAATTTAATGATTAAAAGCTAGATTTTTCCACCTTTATTTAAAATTTGCACATTGGTCAGTTAACATGCTCTTGTGTACAAAACATTTTTTAAATTCTTGAATATTTATGAATATTCACACACCCCTGTGTGAAAATACACCCCCCAGACACACAAACACACACACACACTCCGCTATACAGATGCTCATAAACACACACTCCCCTATACACACATCCCTATACAGATATGCAAACACACACGCACACCGCTGTACAGCTATGCATATAAACACACATCTATACACACATAAACCCCCTATAGATACACGTACACAAACACACTGATGCACACACCCACCTACACATATACGCATATACACACAGAGCCCTGTAATGATGCAGACACACCCCTATACGTATACGCATACACATACCCCATCTATATATGGATACACACCCCTACACATGTATGCCTATATGTATAGGTGTGTGTATAACACACATATCTATATGCACATACCTATCTATACAAACACCTCTAAACATATATGCACATGCACACACACATTTATGCACACACACATTTATATACACACACACATCTATGCATATCTGTATAAACACACACCCATACATATACACACCCCTATAAAGATACGCATACGCACACACCCATATGTATACACACACTGACCCCATAGATATAAGCATACACATATCTCGCATATATGAATATATACATGTACACACACACAGCTATACACACCCCCCCGTACAAAAACACATCTATACACACACTTCTCTATATACATACACACACCCCTATACTGATAGGCATACACACACGCACATTTATGCACAACCTATACACACCCACACAGATAAGTATATAAACACACGTATCTATACACACATAAACCCCCTATACAGATACACACATACACTAATACACACACATCTAAACACATGCATCTATACATACAGGCATACACACACACACACACGCTGCTATACATAGATGCATACACACACCCCTATGCATATACACC